CGACTTCGCAGTAGAACACACCGGGGTCAGAAAGCGACAGAGGGAAGGGACGTTGGAGAGGGTGGTAAAATACGATAAGGAGGCTTTTGAGAAGGCTTACGCCTGGATGGCATCGAGTCCCAGCGACAGCGAGGACGACTAATCGAGTTTTTCCCTTTCTTTTCCCCGACAGCAACAGACACTTTTTTTACCCCGCAAGTGTCTTGGTTTTAGTGTGGGAACCCCAAGTGTCTTGGTTTTAATGTGGAACTAAAATTGTCTTGGTTTTTGTGTGGCGTCACGATTATACTGGCTTGAGTATTGGCGGACGCGGCACGTATCGTTGAGTAGTAGGAGGGGGGGGTTGGGTTCGGGCGCTACTGTTGTTTGTTGCCCCGCAAGTGTCTCGTTTCTTGTGTGGGGCCTCCGAGTGTCTTGGTTTTAGTGTGGAACTTCCAAGTGTCTTGATTTGAGTGTGGGGGGTCACGATTTTACTGGTTGTAGTATGGGGGGCGCGTTTGGCTGATGGAGTATAGGAGGGGGGTTATCTTTGGGGTGGGGATAATTCTTGAGTTTTTGGGGGCGGGACAGGCGTTTAGCCCCACCCACCCCCTCCCTGGAAAAGGGCAAATATGGCCGTTTTTAGGCCAACTCAATATTTTCCGGCCGTTAGGCCGCATGGTTCAAGCACCAACTAAAAAAAAAGAAAAAAAAAATCTTACTCAAAAAACGCCTGAGAATTCAACGAAAAAATCGGAAAACAGATCGGACACCGTTAAGGGGGCGCAAAAACATAACGACACAGACTTACGATTCAGAGGAAGTATGGCATTAATTAAATAATGTTATGGGTTAGAATTAAATCATATCACACACGCACAGCAAAAGTAAGGCAGCGCCGGTTTTAGATGTTTCGTTACGATGAGGAGATCTAACGTGCAAGAATGCCCGTCACGACACCCCCAACCCCAAGCCAAGTCCCTCAAGGAATGCTACATGCACGTGCCTGAAGAAGTAATAACCAGATCTCAGTTCCAGACGCCGTTAGTGAGACTCGCAACACAATCATCTGTGTCTCCGTCACTCTAGACCGCGCCGACGCCCTTCTCGCTCAACCCGTCAGATTCCTCACCGCTGGAGTCAGATTCCCCCGAATTCCACTTAATTAATCAAATAGTCAAGTGCACCGATCGAACTGTCGCCGTGCTCGTCCGAGACGGGGTCCTCCAGCTCGGCGTTCTTCGATTCCGCGGCCTCGCCGAAGGAAACGTCGTTGCTCGCAGGTGACTCGAGGGTCCCTGCCTCCGCGTGGTTCCGTTCCGCTACGTGCAATTCCTGCTGCTTCCTCGAGGCAAGAAAGAAGAGTGCCAAGGCATTGGAGACTCGCGAGGATGGCTGCAGTCGAGTCTCGACAGGTGGTTGGGGTCGGGCGGTGGTACGACCCTGGATCGGCCCAGTTTGAGGAGCACCCACCGTAGGCCGGGATATAGGTTTCCCCCCTGTTCGCACGTCGGCGCCGCCCGACGTAGGGTGCAACGACTTCTTCTGTAGCCGCAAGCGAGCGAGCACTTTCTGTCCTTCTTGCACCTGCACCTGTTGCACAGGACCGCCTCCGGATTGCAACCGTACGCCAGCGTGACTGTCTTTCTGTCAAGGCCGATGTAAGGAAAGCACGCAGTTCTCGGCTGTGAGTTCGTCGCTGTCGCTCCCCGTTCCTCGCGGGTCAACGCCCCATCCTTTGTCGACAAACTCTGTCGCCAGCATGGTCTCCCTCAGGCAATTCTGCCAGTACCGGAAGATGGCGTTAACCCGTTGTCCCTGCTTGCGCAAGGGAAAACTAGACGGACAGTTGGCTGACGTCTTCTTCTTTGGGAGCTGGAGACAGCTCACGTAGTCCCCGACGTCGCCGGCGACGCGAGCAGCTGGGCGGGGGTTGAATGAACATGCCTAAGGCATCCTTGTAGAATAACGTGGTCGCCAAAAGTTTCGCGCATCCGTCGATACCCACAGCCCACGTACCGCTTGCGCCTCAAAAAACAACGGCTTCTCAAACAGACGCTCCGTCCGAACGCTCTAAAGAAAGAGTACCCTCATCTTGTCGGACGGAAGGCCGGAAATTGCCGGAAGATAAATAGTCACAGTCAGACCCCAGGAAGGTTACCAACGAGGGTTGTGTGTAACCCATCCGCGTTCCATACGCCCGTACGCCTTTTTTCGATTCTTGCCTGTTGGTTGGTCTGCAGATAGCACCGCCGGGGCACAAAGTCTGCCACCCGTACATATTCCGTTCGCTTGGCTGATAACGGCTTGTCTTGGATTCCCGTCGTGACTCCTACGCCGAGAACCCACGCGGCGATTCCCCCCGCCTCTGATTTTCGCCGTTCGTCTTCGGCAATCGCGCCATCTTTTCAGGCCGTTGCCTCCCTGCTCGCCTCGCTCTGCTGCATGTAGTAATCCTCCTCTGCGATCTTGCTCTCAAGATTGGGCAGGCCACCCGTATCCCTAACAAGAGGGCCTCCTCCTGCGTTCTCTGTCCGACCGGGTCTTTCCTCCCTTTCGACGGGCGAGTGCTCCGGAATCTCTCGCGTGGCGCTACGTCGCGGCGATGGGGGTGCGCACCTCCTCAGTGATTAGGTTGCCCTCTCTCTCTCCTGCTCCCGCTCCGTCAACGGTCACTTGTGACGTCTCCTTCTGTGTTGTCGACCACTGAAGTACGCGGGGTTAGCGTGCCTTCCGTAAGCTGGCGAAGGTACCATATTGGCCGCATACCCCCGCTTCCGCGTGCACCGGAATCTCTCGCATCGCGCTACGTCGCGGCGATGGGGGTGCGCACTTCCTCAGTGGATAGGTTGCCCTCTCTCTCTACTGCTCCCGCTCCGTGAGCGGTCACTTGTGACGTCCCCTCCTGTGTTGCCGACCACTGAAGTACGCGGGGTTAGCGTGCCTTCCGTAAGCTGGCGAAGGTACCATATTGGTCGCATACCCCCGCTTCCGGGTGGAACCGGGCTCACCGGCCGAGGCGACGCCGGTGGCGTACCCGGTTGAGCTGTGGAGGGTTGTTTATCCCTCAAGGCCGTTGCCCCCGCCTACATACCTCTTCCACAGTTGATCTGGCAGCAGTTCAACCTATGCCGGCCGCTATTCCATTCATTGTTAAATACCCGGCCAGGGTAACTGTTGAGCGTTGACTGGTGGTCTAGTGGTCATCGTGCTTCTCAACGAAAGCTAATGCCCGGGGTTCGAATCTCCCCTTGAGCATAAATTTCACTGCGCCCGAATTCATGACGAAGAAAAAGTCTGGGGAAATTGGCTTCGCAAATCAAGCCGATGAACCTCTTGTTGTACCGAAAGCGAGTTCCGGGCAAGACAGCGCTGATCACAGGGGTGGCATTCCTTGGGGGACGTGTTCGTGGCTGCAAAGCCAGATCGGACACGGGTATTAACTTTTGTTCAGGAGCACGATCACCAACCACTACACCGCTAGTCAGCGCTGACTGTTGGTCTAGTGATCATCGTGCTTCTCAACAGTAAGTAACCACAAGATTTCGAAAGCTTGCGTGACACGTATTCATTCGTGGACAGGGCTCTTCATTGCCTCTTGACAGCCATGCAAAAGTTCTGATCCTCTGTACGGGCATGCATAGACTATGCACCTGAGAACGTGACGGACTAAACCCTGTTTCACTACGTAGTATATATGCCTAACTCTGTAAAGCTTCGGCGTTTGATTCTTAGTGCACGGTCCGGAGTGCACGTAGCTGAGCGCCCCGGGTCATGTTTGGCTCGTATACAGAACTGGCCCGCAATTAAGAAAAATTCTGTTCAGAAAAATAGGCTCAACGTTTCACGAAAAATAAGAAAACAGGGCTGTGAAACTCAGCTCAATCTCGGCCACAACGTAAGAAACCAGTAAGAAACATGATCGTTCGATACCCGCTAGATATAAAGAACAAGAGGGGTTGCTTGGGGAGGGTGTCCAATAAAAAATGTCCCCGGTGTGGAGGGCTGTTGCCGAGCGAGCCGCCTGATCAGAGGGGTTTCCACACGGGGCTGCTTTCTTCCCGTTGAAGCTTTTTTTTCTCATACTTTCTTTTTTCACACGTGCAGCACTGCGAAGTAAGGAATACTAGTGCGAAGAAGTACGATGCGATGGAACCACCTCCTGGCGATCCTACAGCAGTCGTTTTCTCTGCAGGTAATTGGGACCAATGGCTCGCTGCGCTACACAGGAAACACGAGGCCTCCATGTGGAAACCATGGAGGACCCCCAGATAAAGTGTCAATCTTGGTCGCGACAGAGGGGGGGGGAGGGGGGGTACTCATAGTCGTGCATGTTACCGTAGCCGTTAGACCATTGCACATCCCTACGAAGCCGGGACGGAGCATGCCGGGTTTTCACCG